CACTTTTCGGTGCCCATAATACTTACAAGTCCGGCTGATTGCCCGTTTCTCTCCTTTCGTCTTTGTATTCTTTCGCAGTTTTCGGCACAGGGGCTCGTCACGTACGCATATCTGGTATTCTGAACATCCTTTCTCCGATGAAATGCTGCGTTCCCTCTTCAGCTCGCCGTACTTTGCACAAGTTCTCTCCTTTGCCCGCGTCGTCCCCTCTGGTTCGGCGATGTTGCGCAGCACGTGTTGCCAGTCTTTTATGCAGAGACGTCGGCTAACAACCCAAGCGCTTTCTAGCAACATACTCAGGCAGGAAAGACTGGAGGCTCTCCTTGAAAGACCTCAACTGTCTGAGAATTTGAAACAGTTATTGGCGCTTTTTGGAGATGAACCGACGATGCCGGCCGGCGAAGGCGTTTCGCTCCTGGACCTGCGGATAGTCCGTCCATTGAGTGAGACTGCTAGGCTCTCACCCACAGCTATATGCAATTTACTGGAGGTGGTTTTGGCGCCATCTCTGCAGTCCTTCTACGGACGGTCGTCCGTCTCACCGCAGACCCGGCTTGAGTTACTTTCGCCTGACTTCGTCCTCCGCCATTTAATCCATCCTCTCTCGAGATTCGGGGTGGGAGATCCCGTGCGCGCTATCAGTCGCTGTCCTGGTCTTTTCGCCGCCGCGATTATGCGCGAGGAGGGGGAGGATTCGCGTCTCGTTGCAGCACTTAAAACGCTCAGCACCCTGCTTTCTCGCAAGGACCTTGCCACTCTAGTCAAGAAATTCCCCGGTACTTTAATTTCATAATGTAATGCTACTTTCATTTACATAGTAGGCTATACACTATGTGACCTAACTCATGCGACTTGAGGACGAAGAATGAAATGATGATTCTTAGGCTCCTAAAATGTTGCGCACTTTACTCATTCGCCTAGCCCCTTCCGGAAAATATCCCTTTTTTCACGCAGACTGTATGACTAAGTAATGTTATCAGAGAAAATATCTCCAAATCTGAGCGGTAATCTACGTTACGGTATATTCGGGCAATTTCTCATGTTAATAGTTGTCCTAGACTTATTTTGCTCATCCGAGCTTGTTCTGTTTCTAGAAGAGAGTAAGCTTACTTCGACAGTTATACCAAATAGAACTTGCCACACTTGAAAGCTCGCGAAAGAATAGGTTATTTTAGAAAACCAGCGTGTTATGAATTTCTAGAGGGCGGATTTAGTGCCCGAACGTGCAGTAGTAATGCCTACAGGCACTTTTTTGTTTAAATGTGCCGATATTGTGAACATTCTGCAATTTACTGTCAAACTTAACATCACCGAATGGTTATTTTACATTTTGGAAATATGGAGTGACACTTCTTACGCGGTCTAGTTTCTGCTTAACCGTAGTGCAGGAACGGAACAGGAATACATTAACGGTTTAAGCAGTGTGTCAGTATTTATATGGCCTCTCTTCTGGGCATTCATAATCGTAGGACGGATCCAAAAAGTAAACAAAGATGCCGAAAATAGCTGCAATATAAAGAGAAAACAAGTTCTTCCGTATGCTGCGAAAAGGTATCAGTATTTCTCAAGAACCTAAAAAACGGCCAAAAGTGGGTTTACCGTTAACAGAATACAGGACTAAATCATTTTTTTAATAGACAACTTTCTACAGAAATTCCTTCAGTTGACGAGAAGCATATTCGTCGTTAGCGTTTGTTGTGGACGTTCATTTTCTCGACAATGACGTTTTGGGTACTTCTTCAAGTATGACCCGACCAACATACACAAAGAGGATTCTTAATCACTCACTAATTCGGTAAATGCTTCCAAGAAGAATCTTTTTGAGGATTTTGATAAATACGTAGCACATGAAGTACCCTGAAAATCGAAAAGTATTCACTTACATTTCAATGATACCTAAACTCAGAAGACTCCACCGTCATCAAAAACCTTAAGTATTCTGAGGTAAGTAGAGTTCTCCTAACGTAAACAAAATGGTATGCAGCGAGAGATTGCAGTTGAAAAGCCGTCGCGATAAATTCTGGTGTGTATTGCTGTATCAAATTCATGCCATGGAAATATTGCTTCAAATTAAATTTAGTAGTAGTTGAAAACCCTAGCTCCTGCGAAGTTGTAGTCAGCGAAATCAAGTGAAATCCTCCTTGCCTTAGTCAACCGCATATCGAGCAATGCGGGAACGGAAAGTCACATCGATTTTGCGCTGCAAGACTTTGAGATACATGACCCCAAACCACGTACTGGACCTTTTGCCAGACTCCATGTAACACCAATTCCCGGAGGTCCTTTAGTGAGAATGTGTGCAAAAGCAATTTTCTAAACATTGATGTGCTTATACCGTGTTACTTAATCGTCTGCTTGGACAATCATCATGCAATTTTAAAATTCGGATCTACTCATAGGACGCGCATTTTTGCGTCTTCGACATCTGCGCTTTTCTTAAGAAAGTTGTTTCTTCTCATTAATGAAGTAGTACTTGAAACACTTATTTTGTTTCCGTTTAACTGGAGGTTTTCCATTATTGGTGCCTCGGTGGATGCCTCTTGGGCTGGTTCCAGATTGGTTAGTGATTTTTCGTCAGCTTAAACATGTTTCATGCATTAGGTTACCAACTGCATAAACCATCATCTTGTAGAAGCGTTGACCAGATCTCCTGATGAACTCTTGGAAATATACACCTACCTGACGGAGAAGATGGGCCTTGCGTCATCCAGCGAGGTACACAGCGCAGCCCGTCATCCCCACGAAATGCGCCATTCAACGAAGTTACTCATCTCCGCATGTTCCGCGTGGCGTTTGCCACTCAACAAAACCGTCGCGCGTCACACCCTTCTGCTTTTGGCCAATCAATGGCCACCAAAGTTTTCGGACTCCAAAAACAGTACGTTATCAATTCAGACCGACTTTTTTTAGCATTGATGACGTTTGGGCGTTTTTTAGGACCGCTTGATTGTGAATCTGCAGATGATCTTATCATGACACTTACAGTTTTGTGACCTGATCGGCCATATCTCCGCACGGCTTGCGACTCTCCTGCTGCTGTTGCACAGTGGAAGTATGGAGGAAGAGAGAACGCGCGATAGTGAGGCTAGTCCCACGTGACAGTTCATAAATAATATAAAAAGCTGGGCGCCATGAACTGTCGCAACTGTTTAAAGGATTAGCTTGCGGTTTTTCCAACTTCTCGGCTGTCTCAGTTCTTGTGACCGACGGCCAGGCCACAGCGACTCATTAGAGTGACCATATAGCAAATCTTACCAATTTGCTCTCTATATGCTTGCCTTGTATTCCAGGTCGTTCTTACCGGCCTGTTCAGTTACTTCCACAGTCTTTTAAAATCTCCCTAGTAGATTGCCGCGCCAAAGATGCTTTCCCTTCAAATAGAATAGACCTGCTTACCTGGCTTTTCTTTCTCCTGAAGGTCAACGAGCCCCTCAGGTTTACCACCTCTCACTGTTCGACCTCATTCCCGTTTCCCACATACGGGCCTTTTACACGTGATCGAGTGCTGTTCCATGAGTTGAAGAGTTTTCGCTGTGGTCAAAACGGGTTCAGGAACCAACTCTTAGCTACAGTGCGTGACCGATCTCATGCAATGTTGTCCAAATTCTGGAATGCGTTTCCGATTAGGAAGGATTACTTAAGTGAATTTGTTATACTGATTATCATGCATCATAACTCTATAACATTTCGGACTCGCCAGGATGTCGGCTTTTGAATGCACCCTTTTTCAAACCCCTGTAGAAACCGTACTCATTAGAAAATGACTACTTATGTAGCATGCATTTTCCCCACTGATTTTCGGTGGTCTTATAAATTCAAATATATTTTATAGAGAACACGCTCAAAATATGCTTTCTTTGCTCATTTGGTAGGAAATCACATTGTCTTCCTATTGTATGCCCAAAGAAAGTGTGTACTTAGGTTTTAAAAAAGTTTCCCGATTCCCGAATAATTTTCAGCCTGATCTGCCATCGCATCAGTGTTTAGCAATTTCAGTCTACAAGGCGCATGCTTTCTGCGTAAGGAAAATCATATATTCCCGTATGCCTTCAAGAAGATGTCACATAGAGTTCAGTAAATTTTGCAATGGACCCGAACTGTATTGTACAGTTCATGAGGAGCATTAGTAAACGGACGTGTGCGGTCTTGCATGCACGGACATCGGACGGTCTTAAAAATATCATAATTAGAAACTTTTTTCAAACCAAAATATACACCATTTCGGGCACAAAATATGAAAACAATGTTATTTCCTACCAAATGAACAAAGAACGCATATTTTGTGCGTGTTCTCTATAAAATATATTTAAATTTATGAGACCATCGAAAATCAATACGAAAAATGCATGCTAATTATATAGTCATTTTTTTACCGAGTGTGCTTTCTGCAGGAGGTCAAAAAGATGTGCATTCAAAAGCCGACATCCTGGCGAGTCTGAAATGTTATAGGGTTATGATGCATGACAATCAGTATAACAACCCCACTTAAGTAATCCTTCCTAATTGGGAACGCATTCCAGAATTTGGCAAATATTTCATGAGATCGGTCACGCACTGTACATCACCGTGACCATGAACGTTACAGTAAGTGAAGATTTCACTCTCACGCAAGTGCGATCCGAGCCGCCCATCTCTTTTTGCGCGGGACGGGTCGTGTGTGGCACGCGTAGACGGGCCATTTGGCTGCGTCCAATCCCCGTATCGGATGACTAACCAACTGGAACAGTGAACTGATGTGAGGGAACATAAAGTGAGGTCGACTCTGGGTACCTCGTCTCCACGACGCACTGCGTATTTCTCACTATAAACAATTTGGCGCGCCTTTAAACTATCACGGTGGGCCAAAAGCTGCGGCTTAGAAGGCTACCGAGTGACGGGTTAACTCGGTTTTCCTCCCAGGACGAGGAGTCAGGCTGCTATTCGTCGTTTATAATCTGGTCGAGATACGAACAGCTCCGTATGTTTTTTGATGAAATCCTGGCCCATCGTGCGCGGGCCGAGGGTTTTTAGCGCGTTTAGATAGACTGTTTGACCTTGTCCGTCACTGTGTCTGGTTCCGCCGCTATCTTGACAACAGGCTCAGGTGCTTGAAGCAGGAGGAAGTGCATTAGATGCATCGCAAGTCCACTATTACCTCAAATTAATTAACACGCAAGTAACTGTCCTCGCACCCGCCATGATGCTGGGCACACGGAGTGAGCATCAGCGTTCACGATGATCGAACTGCCTTTTCAGATGACGTATCGCAAGAAAAGTTGACTGAAATTTCGAAATAACGTTTTGGCTGGGAAGCACTACTTTGGTGGGCGTGTAACTTTGATTATAATCCAGTATAACCTCGTGATATTCCAGCCAAGTTAGGATGCTGACTTTTGGATGTGCGTGCAAAATTCCATTGACTGATACAAGCGAAGATGCGAGCTCCAGGAACTAGTCGATCAGAAGAAGAAGAAGAAGCGATCGCTGGAACAGGGGTTTTATTCGTCTGACGTTTCGGATTCTCACTTGAACCCATCATCAGAGACAGTGGCAGAAAAGGGTGACTCGTGCACAGGATGTTGCAGTATTTATAGGATGTAGTCGCTATGCTACCGCGTACCTATAGCAATTAACCGCGCTCCCCTTCATCAAGAACTGTTGCCCGCTGGTGCGCCAAAGGCTCCCTTTATCCCGTGTTCTAACTCCGACTCTTACCCTCCCCACCCCCTTTGAATTTAGGGCAAGGCCACCTATAGTTCGAGAGATGTCCATATTCCTCTACCGAACCAATACTTCTTGCGCTAACTTTGAAGTAAATTTTGTCTTCGACTTTTCTGCCCAAAAAACGATGACTTTTGTTTCAAAAAGTTTGTGTGTGCGAATTTTTTAAAACTACGAAATGTCTCTTCAAATAGCGTGGTATCCGTCCGTTTGATGACGGACCTTGTGAAATACACAACGTGGTCTATATATGTTGCAAAATTTTATGAGCGCTGTATGACACCGTTTTAATGGCATAGAAGGAATGTGTGATTTTCCATAGGTTGGAAGTGGACAACTTGTGGTTTGGAGCTCACAAATACAAATGCAATTGCAGGTTGAATCCGAAATTATTCCGAAATGTAAAAACGACTTTTCTTAAACTGTCGGGCACCCTTGCCTTGAGTATAAAATTTGGAGAAGATATAACCTACTAAGAAACTGGCTTCAAGAAGACATGATATTGGCAACGGTATGGAGAAGGACCCCAATTTACTGTCGGTAGACAGTAGATCGTGTCTGGTGATGAGGGGAGTTTTACGGGTGGGGCAGCACACTAGACAGTATGCTGACGAAATGCAGGAAAACACAGAAATTGTTTGGATTTCTCCCGAAAGACTCATCGTACGATTTCTTACGCCAACGGAAATGAGCACGGTAATTAAAAATAAACAAAAAGTAAATTTCAAAAAATAAAGGAGCTTGAATGATGGTTTGGAGTCATGGCAGGTGCTTGTTATTGGCAGTGTAATGTCTTCAAAGGCCTGCGAATGGATGCCAAGATAAAAGTCCGTATGACGTGATCCACAGTCTGCCGTCGTCAAATGGGGTCCTTCTCCATACCGTTGCCGGTATATTTTGTGCATACTTTCTATGAAACATGTTTGGATCTATAGCGGCATCAACGATGAATGGGACAAAATCATGCTATTTAAGTATTCCTTCTCAGCTAGTGTTTTTTGCAGGCGGCCTAAAAGACGCATATTCAAAGCGATCACCCTGGCCCGACTGAAATATTTTGGGATCATGCTGTATGGTAATCAAAATTGCAGGCCCATCTTAGTAAATCTTTTATGGCAAAACTGCAGGGCCATTCAGTCAGCGACAAATAATCCTGATTATTGGATTGTGACGAAAACCCTCAAGATCGTTGTCCCACGAAATATGGTTCCATGTTGAACTTCGAGGAGTATACTGTCATCCCGATGAATCGCCGTAAGTTTTGCAGCTTTTCATTCCTGCGCACGGCGCTGAGTAGTCGATTTCAGCTAGGATTTGTACCTTTAATACCATTATTGTCGGAATTAGTGCAGCCTTGAAGGTAATCGCTGAACACCATTGTGTATGCAACCCAGGTGGTGGTGTCCCGCCTGCATAATGACGACGCACCTTACGGTTGTAGGCTCTCACCCCGTCTCTGATGACACAGACGGAACTCGTGTAGAACGCTAATCTGTTATTTGAACATGACTCCTCTCTCTCTCTTTCTCTCTTTACCGTCCTTCCTACTCCGTGTTTTCTCTTTGCAATTTGGATGCAAGTTTCACGCGACAATATAGTAAGCCAACTGCTTGCATGTCCTCCGGCGCGGTTCTCTCATTGGCTCCAGAGTTGCGGATTAGAGGAGGCGGAACTGGCCGCAGAGTCGCACTGCGTCCAAACCTACTTTTCTGCAGAAGACGTTCGAATTTTTGAGGCCATCTGTTCTAACCTCACGTCCATGAAGTCAGTCAACACGACTGTTCTCTCTGGGGACCTCGCAGACAGCGATTTCGAGAACACCGACGACGAGGAGGAGTATGATGGCGACACTCCCACTGGCTGATACTCACATCTGCTCCCTGTTATGTAGATAATAAAGTATGCATTATGCCGCATCTGTCCTTGCTTTTTTTCCGATGCTGAAACTCCTGTTGTGCGACTTGGGCCATGTGTTGTCATCATTGAGACACCCGATCAACGGTAGTATCCAGCTAACCGTAACTAACGAGCACAAATTTACTGGAAGGGGGACAGATCACTAGGAGAACCAGTGACCTCATAGGTTTCAAAAGCAAGCGTGAGAAACTGTCTCTGAGTTGAGGGAGGGCGGGTTGTAGGATTGGAATATATGGGGAGAAGAAAACTACGCAATTTAAACCACTGAAGGTGCCAGTTTGCATTGAAGCGGGTTAGGGGAAATTGTCTGACTACAGACATGAGGTCATTTGGTATAACTGCTGAGTCCAGGAGTCGAAGGGCAGAACCACAGGTTGTGAACATGCTTTAGCCAATAGCACAAACGGTGTGCCTACAGTAGATGTGCTTACTCATGAAATGTCAACCAAAATTTCGAAATGCGTTCTCGTTTCGAAAAGATAAATTAAGTAGTGTTGTTAAACTAATCGCGATGCAGCATAAACCTATAATAATCCAGTTACCTCAGGGTGTCGGCTTTCGAAAGAACTTATTTACGGCTGCATGCAAGATCTATACTCTGCAAAAAATGACTATGTAGCATGCAGTTTTCTCATTGATTTTTGATGCCCTTGAAAATTCAATTATATTTCATGGAAAAAATGCATAAAAATATTCATTCTTTTACTTATTCGGTAGAAAATCACGTCTTCTTCCAATTTCATCTTCAAAAGAAGAGTATAATTCGGTTTTAAAAAAGTTTCTAGTTGTGAGATTTTTTAATACCATTAAATGGCCGTCCATGAAACGTCATGTATCTGGATTTACGAATGTGGCTTGTAAAGTTTACAATATTGCATGCATTTCTCTACGGTGTTAAGAGGAGACCATGTGAGGTTCATAAAATTAAGCAGTGGATTTGAGCAATATTATTAACTTTACCAGCCACATTCGTAAATGCAGATACATGACGTTTCATGAACGGCCATTTAACGGTATTAAAAAATCTCACAATTATAAACTTTTTTAAAACCGAATTATACTCTTCTTTTGAGTATGAAATTGTAAGAAGACGTGATTTGCTACCGAATAAGTAAAAGAAAGAATATTTTTATGCATGTTTTCCATGAAATAGCATTGGATTTCCAAGGACATCAAAAATCAATGAGAAAATTGCATGCTACTTAAGCAGCCATTTTTGCAGAGTATAGATGCATGCAGCCGAAAATAAGTTCTTTCGAAAGCCGACACCCGGAGGTAACTGAATCATTATAGGTTTATGCTGCATCGCGATTAGCTTTACAACACTACTTAATTTATCTTTTCGAAACGAGAACGCGTTTCGAAATTTTGGTTGACATTTCATGAGTTAGCACATCTACTGTAGGTACACAAAATGTGTTAGGAGATGGCGTTCAGCGGGTACCGTACGCTTTCAGGGACTGTGCTTTGGATTTGTGCCGACTTTGTTTTACGCAAACGGCCTCTGGTTGGGTTCCACCGGAGCCGTTAAAAGTGGTTATTTGGCGACCTTTGGAGTCTCAGCCCCTAACCTGTGACGGTCAGGGTTATGTCCGTCTAATGGGCCTGAGGACATTTTTGATTTTACCAGTGGAATTTTTAATATTAGCAATGTTAAAAACCATTAATTTAATGTCATAGTGGGCTATGCCCAGCTCTCATTTAAGCCGTGGGCCCGAGGCATCTTTGTGACCGTCCCAGTCGAGCAATCCGCCGGTTTTCCATCAATTACTTCTGTTACCTGGAATATCGGTCAGAATATTGGCACCTGTTGGCTTTCAAACCGAAGTGGGGATACAGTAGCCGGGTCGTGGCTAATGCCGTAGCTCGCAAGTAGAGCCCACCGTTAGTACACATAGTTGGGCTATTGGCTAACCGATGATTTGCCGCAAACGACCTTTACCGACGGGCCTCCTTATGGGGAGAAGGGCTACCGCAGTTGTTTAAGTAACAATCGGGAGAGGGCTCCCAAATATCCGTGGCCTAGAAATAATACCTGCAACACCTATTTGAGTAGTTTATGGCCTGTTTTATTTGTTGTTTCATCCGACCTCAATTTTATCTGATCTGCAGTGCCCATGTTGCCTCACTTATCATAGTCTCCAACAGTTGAGATGCGACCGCTGCAGACCGAGCCATGGTTAATCAACCTTGACCTAGGCTGAAGAGTGACAGCAGTAGTGGGGTTGCGGCTAAATCTACCCTTGCATACCTTAGGACAGTTGATAAACTGTCGCTGTAGACCGACCATTGGTTTGCCATCCTTCAGATATGTTTGCTTAGGTCACGAGCGGCGACATTAGCCCGTTTGCGGCTTGCTTTAGAACAGCTTAGCTTAGGAAAGTTGGGGAATGATCGCTTTAGACCCATCATGACCATTTCTTCCTCAGGTGAGGAATGACTGCAGTTGTAGGTATGCGGCTCAATCTATGCACCATACCCTTTGGACAGTTGCAAAACGATCGTCGTGGACCCACCCTACGTTGAAAAATCTTAATATAAGCTTCCACTGCTGACAAGCGACCGCAGTAGTACCTATGCGGATTATTCTATAGTAGCTTACCTACGGAAAACTGCAGTACAATCGCCGTTGACCGAACACTTGGATTATCAATTTTTACCATTACTTCCAGAGGTCAGGAGCTACCGCAGTCGCCAGTGTGCGGCTCAGTCAATGGCTGCATAGCATAGGACAGTTGCGATAAGATCGTTGCATTTGCGGGCAGTATTTTTTTGGGTGTCCTCTCCCGATTGTTACCGCTGTTTACAAGACCTGCAGTCAGCGACCGATCTCATGAACTGTTAACCGAAATTCTGGACTAGGTTTTTGATTAGGAAGGACTACCTGAGTGGGGCTGTAATGCTGATTATCTTGCGACGTAATGTTGAGATATTTCAAACGTCAGGATGTTGGCTTTGAATGCGTTTCTTTCGGTCGCATACAAAATAGCACTCGGAGAAAGTGCCTACTTGAGTAATATGCGTTTTCTCTATCCATTCTCGATGCCCTTATAAATTCAAAAATATCTTATAGAAAAACCCAGTAAGAGTATTATTTCTTGTTCTTATTTGGCAGCACGTCATGTCATCTTCAAATGTTTTATTCGAAAGGAGAGTGTATTTTGGATTTGCAAAGTTTTTCAATTCCCGAATAATCTTGAACTCGGTCCACCGTTGTATTTTCGTTTAGGTTTTTTGTAGACCAGCTGTATGCCTTCCGTGTAGGGAAACACATACAGCCCTTTAAGCTTTTAATAAAATATTATGTGGAGTTCATAAAAGATCGTAACGAATTTGGACCATGCTGTATGCTTAACGAGGGACATTATTAAACAAATAGATATTGTGCTACTCGAGTGGACATTGAATGGCCTTAAAAGATCTAATGACTAGAAACTCTTCAAAACTGAAAGATACCCCTTCTAAGGGCATAAAATTTGAAGAAGACATGATTCGCTAGCAAGTGAGCATTAAAAATAATAATTTTTGTGGAGGTTATATGTAAAATATATTTGTATTCACTAGGAACTCGAAGATCGATAGAGAGGATACATGCTACTTGTGTGGTCCTTTTTAATGAGTACGATTTTTGCAGGCCACCGAAAAGTAAGGCACTCGAAAGCCAACACCCTAGCGCGCCTGAAATATCACGCGACTGTGCCTCAAATTAATCAGTAATACAACCCCACGTAAGTAATATTACCTAACCGTGGACGCATTTTAGAATCCATGTTAATATTTCATGAGATCGATCACTAACTGTACTTATGCATTTCGTACTAATAGCCCAGGGCTACCGTCTGTTTCGCAAATTAAATGTGAGTAAAATATATTCTATGTAATTTCTCGGAACAGTCATTGGAGGCAGCGACAGAGACTACTTGAGTTGGCATTTTCCCAGCGAGTGCGACTCACTTGTGATTTTGAAGATATTAAGTCACGAGGTGGCATGGTGCCGTTTATGATCTAACGTGCGGTTATTTTTAATGCTGATCCATATTGCGACCTGAAGACGTATCGAGCAACGCCTCATGGCTACTCTAGATGAATAACGGCACGTGTTATAAATGGCCCTCTTTACTGAAACAAGAGCTGAATTTTCACATACTCGATCTTCACACAGTAACTACGGCGCTTAATCGTCATCTTCGCACGTATGGTTGCCAGCTGGTGACGTTGCTTTCGTTGGTTCCAGGCGTCACCAGCCCTAGGTGAGTGGACTCACTTTTTTCGCGTGCGCAATTCTCGTGCAACACATTTTGATATGTAGGGTCCGTATACTAGGTTAGCCTAGTTCTGTCCCAGATGTCTAATGTCGTATGGGATGTCGTTCCAGAGGCTGTTCTGAACCAAATTTAGGACAGTCTGGTTTTTCGCTGTCGTCTGTCTTTACTCGAGCTACAGTCCTTGACCGATCTCGCGAAATATTAACCGAAATTCTAACATGCGGTTTCAATTTGTGAGGCTTGTTTTATTGGGATTGGGCATAATGGCATAATATTTCAAACGCACCAGGATGGTGGCTTTTTAGTGCACTTGCCTTCGGCAGCCGATGAAAATCGCACTCGGTAAAAAAATGACTCCTTATGTATTTTGCACGTTTCACTGACTTTGAATGCCCTTATAAATTCACCTATTGTATTGAAGCATGCGCGAAAATATTTCTGTATTCTTTTGGTAGAAAATTACATCTTTTTAATTTTGTACATGAAAAAAGTATCTTTCGGTCTCAAAAATTTTTAACTATGAGAATTTTTATGACGCTGCATTATCCAATTAGACGGAACCGCATCGGTCCATTTATTAATGTTCCTCATGAAGTATTCAACATAGTACACAGCCATTGCAAAATTTCATGAGTCCCATTTGTTATTTTCCTAATGACATAGAGCATTTTATGATTTTTTACGCGGATGGCATGCAGTCTGTGGTCTGGAAACCCGGAAGGTAAATACAATGGCAGATCATGCTTGAAACCATTCGGGAATTATTCGGCTTTTTAGACCTGCATTTACCCTTCCTTCGTGTATTAAACTTTTTGCCAAATGGGCACAATAAAAAAAGTTTTCGTTCATGTCTTCTATGAGATATGCTGAAATTTATAAAGGCATCAAAAATCAATGAGGAAACGTGTGCTACTTAAGAAGTCGTTTTTCATCGAGTGTGGTCTTTGCAGGCGACTGAAAAGAAGTGCATTCAAAGCTAACATCTTGACATTCCTGAAGCATCACTAGATTATGTCGCGGGAGAAGCGATAATTTAGCCTTACTCAGGTAATCCTTCCTAACCAAAAAAACCTTTCTGAGTTTCAGTTAACATTTCGTGAGATCGGTCACTATACGCCAGCTCAGTATTCTAAGCTGTAGTGGACGTAAAGCATAGCTGTGCTCGTCGCCAACGCTACCAGGGTCTGAGTGGAGAGATAACGCGTCCTGGGACGGTTAATCGATAGGTCTGGAAGTTGTACATTTGGCGACGTGAACTATCTATAAGACGATCCTTGCAGGCGAAACGACACTGTTTTGATCGCTGCGAGAAGTTAAGAAAGCGGTACCAAAGGACTTTGGCAAAGGACTCAGTCAGTTGGTCGCGATCAGAAGTTTGAAGCCCAAGCGTGACTGAACAATTCATGAAGTACGCCAGATGTTGTAGCAATTCACCCCATTCGCGCAGAAAAGCGTTTATTTTCTATTTCAATCTCTTAAAATATAGGGTCTCCTGAAGTACTTCTTTTCCCCTTCGGCAAGAGTTTGTTTAAAAAGATGGCCATATGTCCCCGTGTTTCAGAAGTATTCCTTGGGGCGAGAAGGGTAACGGCACTTACAGTAGATGTGCTATCTCATGGAATATTAATTAAAATTCCGAAATACGCCTCCATTTTGAACAGATTGCTTAAGTAGGGTTTTAATATTAACTGTCGTGCAGAAAAATCATAAGATATTCCAGTCAGGTCACAATAGGGGCTTTTGGGTGGACTTCTTTTCAGCCGTCTACAAAAACTATGCCCCGTAAAAAGTGACTTCTCAAGTAGTATGAAGAGTTCCCATCCATTTCGTTGTTCATAATGAACTCCATCATATTTGATAGAAAACATGCGCAAAAATATTTTTCCTCGTACACATTTGATAGAAAATACATGGAAAGGACGCAATATGCGGCCCAAGTTTGCAAATTATTTATCACTGCCTATTGGTTCTTACAAAGTAGTGAGAGTTACTTTAGGCACACTGATTGCCTTTCTTCTAGATAACAAAGTTTTCCTTAAATATCACATTCAGTTTATCTGTCGGTCGGTATGCACGCTAATTTGGTGTACTTTACCTTTGCTAGCCACATTGGCGGTTTCCCTATGTTCCGCTGTTCTGCATCACTATGTCCTGCCGTTGGGTCAACGTTCTCACTTTCCTCCTTTGGGGTTGACCAACGTCATTTATCCTTGGCTTTCTATTGGCCATTTCGCTGCCTAGATCTCTGTATATGCGTCTTATTGTGGAGGCGCTATATTTAGCTTCCTTTAACTTTTTTGGTGTTAAGTGTTAGTAGTATTCAACCATCCGGGTCTTTTTCAAGGTCATTCACGGATCTATTTAAATCTATTCACGGACTTGGAACATTTTTCCAGAACTTCATCCTTTTCACCACACTCCCTCTCTCTCTGCCATCCGTTAGCCCCACCCATATAATCCCTACTTTCACCGGACCCGTAAGACACGATGATCTGTCCTCCGCATTCTGGATCTGTTCGCATATTGCGTCATTGCCAATTACATCTTCAAATTTTACGCTTAAAGATATTTTCTGTGTTAAGAAGGTTTCTAGTTATGAGATTTTTAAGACCGTGAAATATCTATTCATACACCACTACATCAGCACGTTAATTAATGTTATCTATAAATCATACAGTCTGCTCCATGTCCTTTGTACAATTTTATGAGTTATATTTGACGTCCCCCTAGAGGCAAAGAGAAGCGAATGCCATTCCTTTGACAGGATGTATACAGCATTTAGTTTACAAACCCTGAATACAAGCGCAAGGGCATGCGGAACAAAAAATTAGTTGGGAATAGGAAATGTTGTTAAAAACTGAGAGACACGCTCTCTTCAAGTAAAAAATATATAGAGAATGTATTTTGCTACCAACTGAGTACAAAAAGGTACTTTTCGCACCTTTTCTCTAAAATATAATCAAATCAATGAGGACATCATAAGTCACTGTCTCGTTTAAGACGGTGTTGGTGGGTTTTGCCGATGGAGTCGAATTCAGTCGACGGCGAATGCCAGGTACGCCCTGGTGGCGATTGAGGTTTCGCGATTGGTCCATATGCACCATCAGCGTCAATTCTGCAATGCAGTCGCCTTAACGCTAACTTCTAAAGAGAAAATAATTGTCCCCGAAAGATGTCAACTTCAAAAATTGTTGCTGGCAACGATAAGGCGCACATGACGAATGCCAGGGAGGGCGAACCGGTCTCTACAACGTGTTTCTGTATCTGACTAAGGCCTTCGACGCAACAAAACGCAATGAACTGTAGAGAATCATGCCGAAATTCGGATGCTGTAAGAGTTTTACGCAAATGGCAGGAAACGTCAAGGTCCATAACAGCTGAAGCGATTCGTCAACTCAACACAAAACTGAGGTTGTGCGGGACCACTGTCCTGACAAAGTTGTTGTGCAGGACAGAGCGCAAACGCTGTAAGAAAATAGCATAGAAAACGACACCAGTGATCAAATCCAACCGGCCGTCAATTTTGGGGAGGATTAGATCTCAGTTGGTAGCCAGGGATGGGGAGGCAGACGGCGAGGCTCCTGTCTTAGGGGAATGGTGGGAAAGGGGTTATATGGGTGGGGTAAGTGGAAGTTCTGCTGGGCGAATGTTAAGGCTTGGGGGAAAAGTAAACGAAAAAAGTGTTGGCAAGTTTTAGGAAGGTAGAATAATGACAGAAATTGAAAAAAATCCCGCGGAAAACAGCACAGCCTGCGGAAAATGAAGGAGGTAAATATTGACAGGATAACACTAACCTTAACCCTAACCCTAATCCTAACTTTAACCCTAACCTTAACCGTTAAACATTAATCGTTAACCGGTAACCCTAACCCTAAAGCCAAGCCATAATCGTAAACCTAAACCCTAACCCTAACACTGAAGCCGGACCCCATAACGAAAATCCTAATCCTAAAACGTAACCTACGCCTAACCGTAACCCTCACTAAACCCTACAGCCTGATCGAGACGGCCGACCTACCTCACGCAGTAGAAGCACACCTACTGATAACCAGTTCCCTAGACAAGGTAAACACACCCACTGATAACAAGTAAGTACGTGGACAGTATCAACGTACAGTGCCTGGCTACCAAATGCGATCTTACCTTGTACGCAAACAACTTCTCGGAAGTCCTCAGTCACCTTCTCCTTTCTACTTGGAATTGAGGTTGCAGACAGGCCGGAGGCAACCATTAGGGACCGGGTCATGAGACCGAAAGACCCACTGTCACGGCAGGAAACGTTTGGAGTCGTTTACTGGATCTGGCGCAGTTGTGGACAGAGCAACTGCATCGGAGAACCTGGGAGATTACTCCGTACGCGAATTGCCGAGCACCCAGCGGCAGTGAGGCGGGGAGACGCTAGCGCTCAGGTGGCGGCACACTCGACGGGACCCGGCCATATTGTCAAGTTAAGAGAGACCAACGTCCTCGCAGCACGTGATAAGCGCATGAACCTCGAGCTGCTCGAGTCATGGTTTCTCAGGCCTGCAATCCATCAATAAGCACAATGACCTTCGCTGGGCAGGGTAAACGGTCATGAAGGAGGGGGAGGGACACGGACGAGTAACAATCTCAGTGACAGCGAGCCAAATGGCCAAGTAATTCTAACGTCAACATCCAACACGAAGGATGAAATCGCGGCCACTAATGACTCGAATGCGGACTAACTGGCCATCATCGCATCAATTATGGCCCCAAATGGTGATTACGAGAGCTGCTGATTGTAGTGCGCTTGTGGTCCACGCCATCTTCGTACTATAAGTACTGCACTACTAGTGCCTCCACTGCTCCTATCTGCGACTGTCCCTGATGATGCGTGCGAATGAGAGTCCGAAACGTCAGGCCGATAAAATTCTTGATCCAGTGATTGCCTTATCATCATCATCATCATCATCATCATCATCATCATCATCATCATCATCATCATCATCATCATCATCATCATCATCATCATCATCATCATCGTCGTCGTCGTCGTCGTCTTCGTCAACTTCTTCTTTTTTCTTCTCCTCCTCCTCCTCCTCCTCCCTCTTCTTCTTCTTCTTCTTCTTCTTCTTCTTCTTCTTCTAAGAAAGCGCCCAACACGTCCTACATCGCGCCGGACGACACAAAACTATTGTTATAGTAGTCTCTCCCATTAGCGGAATAGACAGTCTGATGTGAATATATAGCTCCATCTGAAGTAACCAAACCCCAGCCACCTGTAATACGAAATCAGTGGTGAGATAGATTTTTGCACATGGGGCCGGGGAACGCATAGGCGACGAATTCAAGTAGTTGTATGCAAAAGAAAAGCTATAAGGAATGCGTGGTTGTACTTTGAGTGGTCTATAAATAGATGCCCTAATCACTAACCTTAACTTTAACCCCCAACTCCCACCCTAGCCTTTATCCCCAATCCTAATCCCTAGCCATAACCCCTAACCCTGACTCCTAACCGTAACCCCAACACTATTGCGTCCATCAGGTGGGGCTACTTAACTTCTTCCTCTTACCGCATAAACTAAGTTCAAGCATCTTTCAGTTGCGACCGTAGTTTCGAAGATGACATCTGCCTGGTCGGTCTCTTGAGAATCCATCGCACTGAGGCCAGAAAATCAGAATCTAAATCGACAACGTGTACGCTTCACGCAAACCTCTTCTACCTGCACTGTCCCAGGGCATTCAGGCACTTCAAGGGCTTTTTTGGGCATATGCGTACACACAAAAGTTCGCAAAAGTGAGACTTCTGAATGACAATCGGAGAAGGGGGATGAGTTCACCGGAAGGGGGTTATGGTGATGCTGATGCTTCGGCGACCTTATTCGGCTTTCCATTGTCAAAACGGTTAACGTCGAAAATCGATGAGACTGGAGGAGCTAGTCGACCTTGAAGTAAGGCAGTCGATTAGCACAAAGCTAGCGGCTCATAAAGTTCTCTGACGTTGCAAAGGCGAGAACCAGGACAAGACGCCATGCCAAACGTAAGAATACCGAGCCGACAAGACCCGGCCCTGAATCCACCCGAAGAGGAGTCAGAAGCTAAACTATCCTCCATCGAGATGAGGATAGATAACGCAAAAGACCGTCAATCCTCCCAACTATCTCTCAAAAGAGCTAGACAGTGAAAGAAAAAAATCGTAATTTAAAGTCAAGTAGTTTGGCTCTTCATTTAAGTTCTGATCGGTTTTTTCTGCGTTAAACTCCTTGACAATGGAGAACTAGCTGAGTTCTCCGAAAGTTCAGCAACACCATAGTTCTATTCTGGCCAACTCCATCATTTTCTCATATCCCCAATAAAGAAGTGCAGTCCAAACTCCGTTACCACACTTGACCCTAACTGCCAAACGCACTTCACCCTACACATCAGCCTACTCCAAAACACGAGCAAACATGACATCTCCCCTTAACATACAACGCATCGTAGGGGGCGCTCACCGACCGTTCTTACGGAACTCACTCGTTCCTTTGTGCCTTACGGGCTCTCTCCCGAGCCTAACCAGCAGCCGCACAGCGGCGCATGATATGTGTAGGCAGAATGGCATTACCGACAAAGACGAGGGAGACTGGGATGGCCATTTCTGGCTTATTAACCGTCATCAGTCAGTCTCACCCAACCCCGAAGTGTGCAACACCCGAGGCCCGAACTCGGCACCTGTGAGCATCCCCTACCATTGTATATTCCCGATCGAAACCGACAGGGCAATGGGTTCGTGGTCCAGTTGTTAGAGACGTGGACTTCTAACAGGTCGCGAGTTTGAACCTCGGGTGTTCCACACTTCGGGGTTGGATATGACTGGTTGACGACGGCTAATAAGCCAGAAATGGCCATTCCGGTCGCCCTTGTCTTTGCCGGTAATACCATTCTGCATACAACGCATCACTCCTGAATCATGTATACGCTGCATTATACCAGCGCTGTAATGGGGAGAAGGAAAACGGCCGATGTTAGGACATGCGCATCTCATTCAAGTAAAAAGCAGGTTACTCTGTATATTCTAGTACATGAGTTGGGGGCAGGCCGCTTGTGGTACGTGTGGACGAACTGTTCAACCAGGCAAGCCATTGCGCCCAAGCCCGATACCACTTGACTGACAGGTTCTAACAGTCGACTGGTGTATAAGAAGGGAAAAAGCGCGTGAGGCCAGCACTTTGGAAATTATCCTCACGGCACATCAGCGTACCCCTAGACACGTCAACTACAGTGATTGACCGATATCATGAAATGTTGGCGAAATTCTGAAATACGTTTTCGATTTGGAAGAATTACTTCGTCGGGGCTGTAATATTGATTATATAACGGCATAATACAGTTATATTTCGGACTCGCCAGGTAGTCGATTTTCGAATGGGCTTCTTTTTGATATCCTACAGGAGCCACGCTCAGTAAATCTGACTACTTAACTAGCATGCATTTTTCGCATTGGTTTTCGATGGTCCTTTAAATTCAAACATATTTTATGGAAAACATGCACAAAAAATAGGCTTTCTCCTGCTATCTGATGGCAAATCCCGTCGACTTAACATTTTATGCTTGAAGATGGGGTATATTTAGGTTTTAGAAAAGTTTTCCAATTCCCAAATAAATTTAGGCCAGAGCTGCCTTTGCATTAGCGTTTAGCGATTTCAGTCTGCAAGGCGTATGCTTTCTGCGTCAGGAAAATCATTTTTTCCTCTATGACTTTAGGAAGATACCATTTGGAGCTCATGAAATTTTACAATGAGTATGGACTATGCCATACATTTCATGAGAAGCATCGGTAAACAGACAGGTTCGATGCTGCATGAATGTACATTGTACGGTCTTAAAGATCGTATTATTGGAAACTTTTTTAAAACATAAATATACCCTATCTTCAAGTACATCATGTAAAGTTGACATGATTTGCTATCGAGTGAGTAGAAAAAAGCATATTCTGTGCGTGTTTTCTACAAAATATATTTGAATTTATATGATCGCCGAAAATCAGTGCGAAAAATTCATGCTACTTAATTAGTCTTTTTTACTGAACGTGGCTCCTGTAGGATATCGAAAAGGAGTGCATTCAAAGGCCGACATCCAGACGAGTTTGCAGTATTACTTAAACTTTCCGCTAAGTAATCAATGCTCCAACCCCGACTAAGTAATCCTTCCAGATTGAAAACGCATTTCAGAGTTTCGGACAGCACTTCATGAGATCGGTCACTCACTCTATGATACGTTTAAATCCACCTTGACTCTGTTTGTTGCTTTGCTCGGATGGCTGTCAACTGGTAGGATAACCCGATCCTTCTCGTGACTGAGGGTCATGTTGTAATGGCCTACTCATTATAATTGCCTGAGATTTCAAATCAATACTTGAAGCTTCCAGGGTGCGATCGGTCGGCGAGGAATTTACCAGATCATTTCAAAAAGACAGGGCTTTCGAGAACACAATAGTAACTAGCAACGACTGGTGTGCCGCGAATGTTCACTCTAAATCTTATCCACCAGCCGGACTACAAACAGCGGGAAAAGACCACTAGGCATATAAAGTCAATATTTACAAGTCTTACAACCTGATCACTAGGCACGCACGCGATGCAGGAGGTGAGCTACAGCGTTGTGTCCATTACGTTAAAACAAAAGGGACAGTGAAGAAAAAGAGACGAGATGATTAGAGCTCAGTTAATCTGGACTCCCAGCACGGTATCCCACAATTAGACCGGGGGACGGAGATGACGACCACGTGAAGGGACCGTTACAGGGTTTTCAGGGCAATATGTCTAGGCAACACATGGGATTCGGCGGCGCCAGAAATTGCATGTAAAATCAGTATTTAAAAGTCTTACAACCTGATCACTAGGCACGCATGCGATGCGGGAGGTGAGCTACAGCGTTGTGTCCATTATGGTAAAACAAAAGGGGCAGTTAAGAAAAAGAGGCAACCGTGTGAGCCGGGAGCTGCTTGAGTCATGGTTTACTGGCCCCTAGTCTATCTTCCCATTTCAATCCTCGGTGCTGAGACTTCCCCTAGGCGGAGTAATTAGCCACGCGGGGAGCGCACAGGTGAACACTCTTCCCAACGCCGGGGTCAGCGCGTCAGATGGTCGAGCCATCATCACACCAACTTCCAACGCACGTGATGAAATTGCAGCAATTAACGACGTGAATGTCGGCCATCACGCCACGTGCAACGATCCCTGATGAAGGGGCGGGGGGAGGAGCCGTGAATATTCATAGGTATGTTTTAGCATGGCTACTGTATCCTATAAATACTGCAGCCCCTTATGCATGAGCCACCCTTATCTGCTTTTGTCTCTGATGATGGGTTCGAGCAGGAATCCGAAACGTCAGGCTAATAAAGCTTTTGTCCCGGCGATCGTGTCTTCTTCTTCAAGACTGCTTCCTGGGACTCTTCTCTTCGCTTCCATTGGCAAAAGACACTAGATTGTTAGAGTTCAGTTAGTCTGGATCCTCAGCACGGTGTCCCACTCTAAGACCGGGGGCGGGGCGGCGATGACCATAACGTGAAGGGACTGTTACAGGGTTAGCAGGGCAATAGGTCTAGGCAACACATGGGATTCGGCGGCGCCAGCAACTGTTTCATCTAAACGAGAGCCAGTTTTCTGGTGTTGTATAGTTCACACGAATTGTGAGCGTGCGTCTCACCAGTTGTAGCCGAAGAAAGAACATCGATCAACGTCACGGTTTTGGCAAACGGAGGGCTGAATCACATGCTACCCAAGCAGCCAACTCTCAATGGGGTTTCGGTCGTTGTCCTCACGTCGAGTAGATCGCCACAAGTTCACCATCGTAAACAATGAAGGAACAGCAAAATAACAATTGCTTTCATGCGTATTCTTGTAGGAAAAGAGAGTTTCGCCAGCTGGCATTTTGTGTGGAACTCTGATTAATGGCATCAGCATTTAGTCAAGGGTTTGTTGTCTAAAGTATTGGCATGATCTAAACAGGGTGTGGCGGCACGCCTAGAGTAATTTCAGCCGCAGGAATGGTGACCTGAGCGTGCATTTGTTCATAGCCATAACGGATGTGACCCTAACACATTTCAAAATTGGAGGTCTGTCAGCACGCCTAAATGAGGGCGCACATTGCGCCAGTTGCGATCCGAGCCGTCCCTTCGTTTACACTTGTTATGCAAAATATTGTTCAGTGTACGCTGTGGAGCAGGTGGTGTGGTGGCACGCCGAGATGCGAATTTTCGCCGTGCCAGCCACCTGCACCCTCTCCAGCCTCCAGTCTTCTTGACTCCCTCATGACTTCTTGCCCAGGTGGGGGAGAAGAGAGCGTGGTAGATGCAGCGCAAGTCCACCATCACTGTAAAAGGGACCGCACGCGAGTAATCATCCCTGCCCCACCCTGCTGTGGAGCGCACGGCGAGCATCGTTGGTCAAGACGGTTAAACCGTCGTCCTCAGTGGTAGCGCTGCATCTGCCCCACTATCGCCTCCCTCACTCAACTGGGTCCGCCAGAAAAAGAGGGTCAAAACGGCCGGACGTGCGGTGGCTTATAAAGCTTAACAGCTCGTTTGGGTGTCGCACAAGTAACTACAGTCTTTTTCTCCCCCTCCTGAGAGAGAACGACCGAGTTACCACGTAAGTTGGCAGCCTCCCATGCCACG